GTCTGCTTCCCCAAAGTTGCAGCGTTTGAAAACCCTTTGAAGCCCTGCGACTCCCAAGCACCTGAAGTTGCCCAAGAGTCCCTGACAACTGGTTCGTCTTTGTTTTCTACTTTCACATTTTTGGAGGGGAGGCATGGGGGTTCATTTGATGGTTGTGGTTAGCATCTAGTTGTTGTCTAACTTTGAGTTGCCTGATTACAAAAGAGAGAAAATATTTCTCTTCGGTTTTGGGGTCTTTTAATTTTCTCTCTGTGAGGTGCCATCATATGTCCTCCGGCGATTGTTCCAGTGAGCTTTGCTTCCTTTCCCTCTCGTTTCTGCAATGACCTGGGATAGTCTTTGTGGTTTGGATTGGAGCCCTCTGCAGTATATGTTGCTCACTTTTCCCCAATCTGTTTGTATAAATGTTATTTACAAGGGGTCTTCATATCGTTCCTGGAAATTTTCACACTTTTTCTTAAGTTCCCTCATATTTTTGTTGTCACACAGTCACTTAAAAATATGATAGTGTCAAATTTATCAACTTATGATAGTGTCAAATTTATTAAAACTGATCTTGACTATTATTTTGCATACATTTATAGACAAACCAAACCAAACCCACTGCCATTGAGTAGATTCTGACTCCATGGCCATTTAGGACAGAATAGAATTCTCCTATAGGGTTCCCAACATTCCAACATCTTTATGGAAGCAGATTGCTAAGCCTGTCTTGCACATTGCACTTGCTGGTTTAGAACTACTGAGCTCTCAGGTAGCAGTCTAACCCTTCAACCGCTGTGCCACCAAGGATCTCATATGTATATTTCTAGTTAGGATTTTTCCATTTGACTAGTGTGGAGGGGAAGTGTAATGTTATTTATGTTTTCAAATGGTGCTTCATATATTCCAACAGCTTTATATAATTGTTTTATTTTCCAGAGTTTGACAGGGGAAGAGCTGCCATCTCAAAGTACCTGTGGTGGTCACATAATCTGTTCTCACTTTGAGAGTATTAGAGTGAGGGGATGGAGTTTAGCCTGCCAGGTCACAGCTTGATGACCTGATTTGAAGGTGCTAAGGAGATTAATAGCTCCTTGGAGGCAGGACACACGCTCAGCCCCTGTGAGACATTCTTGTTGACAAGCCACATGGAGACAGGGTGATGGTAACCAGATGCCATGTGGAGTTCCCTGCTAATGCTGAGATGCTTATACCACCACTGGATCCACAAGACTTTCCACCCACTGGCCTGTGATCATCCTGCATTCAGCATTATTGCATATGCTTCGTTAGTCTGAAGAGTAATTTATAGATGAGTGTCAGACATATTGGCTAATATCAGATTTATGGACGATCTGGACTGGGCTGGCATGTTTTCTCAATATTCAATTGAGCTTGTATAAAAAGTTCTCTCTTATACAGAAGAGTCTCCCTGGATGTGTTTCTCTAATGTACCCACATAACACCGTACCGTTGACTTTAATCATGTGGATGGAATAGAGCTTTCAGGACCTTCATTGGCTGATGGGACAGGACTCACAATGAGCAGAAGCAGCTGCAAACATCCACTAATAATCATAGCATGGAATTTAAATGACAATGTGTCATTTCAAATGTTTTACATTTCAGTATTTTGAGTGTGATTTCCAGTTAAATAATATAAATAATGGACATCTATCTTCAAATAGTTTCTAGTTATAATGTAAATATTTCTAATATTTTACATTGCACACATATATTTCCTAAAAACTCCCAGAAGATGTTGTTATCAAGTTAAATAGTTCCTTCTTATTTAGAATTTGAGCCAATTCTGAGAGCTGATTTTATCAAATTATTTTCACACTTGATTGCAATAATAATATTCTCTCTAATCTGGAGATATAGTGACTATATAAGGTATTCTAAGGATAAATCAATTCTTAACTTTTTCTTTAAAAAATGTTGTCCCTTATTCTTTATGAGATTGGTGAATTATTTTATTTGTCAGTATTTCACTGAGACTTCTTTTACATCAATGTTCTAAGAAAATTCAACCTTTATTTTATTTGGCATTTACTATATTATTATTTTAAGACATTTACATTGGTACATCATGATCAATTCTTTGTGTTTCTCCCCTCCAACTGTCCCCCGACTACAGAGACGGACGCCAACCAATGGCTGAAGAAAACGACACCAGGATCACAGAGTTCGTTTTCACAGGGTTGAAGTACCATCCCCGAGTGCAGGTCCTCCTTTTCTTGCTCTTCTTGCTGTTTTACCTGATCACTGTGACAGGAAACCTGGGCATGATTATTCTCATACGGATCGACTCACGGCTTCACACACCCATGTACTTTTTTCTCAGCCACCTGTCTTTTGTGGACATCTGTTTTTCCTCAGTGGTTGGCCCCAAGATGCTCACCGACTTCTTCGAAGAAAGGAAAGTCATCTCTTTCCTGGGATGTGCCTTGCAGCAGTGGTTCTTTGGGTTCTTTGTGGCCACTGAGTGCCTTCTCTTGGCGTCCATGGCCTATGACCGCTATGTGGCCATCTGCAACCCATTATTGTATTCAGTTGTCATGTCCCAGAGACTCTGTGTCCAGCTGGTGGCTGGTCCCTATGTCATTGGGTTCATGAACACGATGACTCACACAATGAATGCATTTCGCCAACCTTTCTGTGGCCCCAATGTTATCAATCATTTCTTCTGTGACATATCTCCTCTTCTCTCTCTTGTATGTGCTGATATATGGATTGATAAGTTGTTGGTGTTCATTGTGGCTGGAGCTGTGCTTGTTGTCAGTAGCCTGACCATTACAATCTCCTATTTTTATATCCTTCTTGCCATTCTGAGGATCCGATCCACTGATGGGAGATATAAAGCCTTTTCCACCTGCTCTTCCCACATCACAGCGGTTTCCATCTTGTACGGCACTCTCTTCTTTATCTATGTGCGTCCAGGTGCCATATTCTCTCTAGATCTCAATAAAGTGGTAGCCGTGTTCTACACGGCCGTGATTCCCATGCTGAACCCCCTCATCTACAGCCTGAGAAATAAAGAGGTGAAAGATGCCATGCATAGGACGATCAGCAGGAGGAAGTTTTGCATCAAAAAGTGAATTCCCATCTAGACTAGAAAATAGGTAAAAGGGAAATCACCCACTGGGTGGTTAGCCTCTGGTGATGGTCATAAGTCATTAAACCAGTTGTAGTATTTTGGGAAGGACATCTTTCCATTCTTCCATTGTACTCTCATTTTATTACCTTCTAATTTTTGTGAAGACTGCGGTTCATAATGCACCTATATTAGTTGCCATGAAGTTTCCCCTGATGTGTGGTGACCCTTTGTACGTTTGGGAAGAGCTATCTATGTTCCATAAGGTTTTCACTGACTGCATTTTTGGAAGCAGATCAGTAGGCTTTTCTTCTGAGGTACCTCATAGTAGACTTGCACCTCGAACCTTTCAGGGCTAACCATTTGCACCACCTAGAGACTCCAGTGTCCCCATGTTGCTGTTGTTGGTTGACATCTAAAAGTGTTCTCTGTAGAACTGGCCAGTAGGGTTTTCCATCGAGGCTGAAACAGATCGCCAGCTCCTTCTCTCTTTGAGCTGCTAGGTGGGTGAGAACTCTCAACCTTTTGGTTAGCAGCTGAGTGTTTATCCACTGCACCATCAAAGCTCCATCCAACGTCCATATATCGTTGTTGCTGTTGTGTTCCATGGAGCCAGTTTCCACTCACAGTGACCCTTTGTGCAGTAGAAGGAAACACTGGCCAGTCCTGCATCATCCTCATACTGGTTCCTAGGTTTCAGTTCCTTATTGCAGACCCCTCCCTTCCCAGTCCATCTTGTTGAGGGTCTTCCCGTGATGTCCTATAGATGACAAAAAGGCATGGTGGCCCACAGAATTAGAGAAATTCTGCTTTCCTTAAAAACTTCTTTACTGTATATATAATAAAGTGTCAGGACTATCCAGTTACACTACCTAGAATAATTGAAATGTCTGAACCAGGTGAGGTTCGTCATAACAATGAGCATATTTCCAGATCTTCTATGCTGAGCTGAAACCATAAGGAGAGAAGGCTTACAGAGTGACAACAGTTTAAATTAATGAAATTTGCTGTATCCTGTGTTTTAAATGTCTTATTATTCTTATTTTCTACAACCTAGTTTTCACAAGTAAAACAAGGCATAATAATCGCAGAACAAAGAAAAGAAAATATAAACAACCAGAAGAAGAGAAATATCATTTTTAAAGCCTTACTCTACACCCCATTTCAAATCCTGTTACCCGTTTGCAGATATCTCTGTACATATTGGATCCTTAAGTTTCTCCAACTATTATGTTAATATTTCTCAGTTCTTTAAGAAAATAATAAGTGTGGATAGTTTATTATAGAAATTAAAAGATTTTTAATTCCACACAATATATCAACACAAATGATGGGTATCAGAGTGGAGACCCGAAGCCCATCTGTAAATAATTGGACATTCCCTCACAGAAGGGTTACAAGGAAAGAACAAGAAAGCCAGGTGCAGCACTGCACTGATGGAACACACTACACTCCTCTAGCTCTTTAGTGCTTCCTCCTTCCTGCTATAATGCCCCCAGTTCTGAGCACAGACACTGGTACAGATAGGAGCTCTGGAAACATAGACTGCAGGACAGATAAATCCCCCAGGAATAGCAATGTGAGTAGCAGTACTATGAGGGTAGGGGGAAGGTGGGCGGAGAAGAGGGAGAAAAGGGGGACCTGACTACAATGACACACAATACCCCTCTCCCAAAGAGGATGGACAACAATAATATGGATGCAAGGAGACAGCAGGCAGTGTAAGATATGAAAATAACAATAATTTCTAATTTATTAGGGATCCACATGGTAGGAGGGTGAGGGATGAGGGGGGGAAAGGAGCTGATACCAAGGACTCAAGCAGAAAGAAAATATTTTGGAAATGACGAAGGCAGCATATGTACAAATGTTCTTGATACAATTGATGTATGGATTGCTGTAAGAGCTGTAAGAGCCCCAAATAAAATTATTTATTTATTACAAACAAGCCAACAATTAAAAAAAAGCTGCTGACAACACTTAGAAAAAAAATACCCAGGCAGTGGGTGTCAGGGATAAGTTAAACTACAGAAAATGTCCATCCTGTTTTCATTTTCATGAGAGGAAGGTGAGACTGTCTGCTCCTGTGAAGATTCACAACCTCAGACACCCTAAGGAGCAGCTCTGCTCCATGCTACAGAGTCCCAGTAGGAATTGAGTAATAGGCAGTGGGCTTGGGTAGGTGATTGTATGCTAGTCAATTTTGTTATCTTAGTAAATAAGGACTATGATACAGTAAATTAAGTATTAACATCTTTCTGATCCTCTGAAAATGTTCTGAAGCATTCAAGAGGGATCACAAATTTTTTTAAGACATTAAAATGATTCTTAGAAACTGGCTATTTGCTAGAAACCACAGTTCTCAGGCATTTTGAGCCAAGGGAGTTGAGCATAATCTGAAAATAAAAACTATCTGTAGATTGTAGAAACCTACAGGCCTCGGTTGGGGAGGGGAGAAGGAGAGTTGGGAATGATACAATTTAAGAAAAAAGTGGAGTCTAGATTTCGTTCAATCCTATGCCTAAATAAATTTCAGATGTGGCTTCTGGACAAACCAATGCTTTTTAGGCAGTATTGATAGAATGACAGTGTCACTTCCCACTACTCCAGGAGGAGTTGGTCCTGCTTTGGGTATTGCAGTTATTCTATGCACTCCTAAGATTCTAGGTCACTTAGACCTGATTCTGCATGAATAGATAGAGGGATGGCTGCATAATTCATGCCCTTCTGCCTACCATCCTTGCTCCATTATTCTCCTAGAAAGATAAAACTAATAGTTAAAGGTGCATGCTTAGCAATTCAATGACACTTCCTGAGAAGACAGCAGCCTAAAGCCACTGGAAATTGCATACATGTGTATTTCCTCAGGGCTCTGTCATCTGATTCCCATAAGCAAAGACTATTCTAGAAATATATCCCCACACATTTTTTTTCTATGAAATTAACTTAAATGAATGTTTGGTGGTATCATACTTCCTTTACAAATTTAAAGCTATAAATGAGATGGACTAGGTAAAATATTGAACATTTCCAAAAAAATATTTCCCTCATCTAATCAGTAACTTATTATGCCCACACTCTGGTTATTGGGATCCAGGTAGCTTTGGTTCACTTATGAGCCTAGGGGTGTCTGTAAGGGCCTGGTTCTCTCTGAGATGTGAGAAGGTGACCCTGGCACCTGAGGCAACTATGAAAATAGTTATATTACTGGAAGGGACTGATTGATGGACACACAGAGACAATACATTTCAGTGGATAAATCTGCTGCACAAAACCTCTTTAACATGTTGAAAACATGGATGTTACTTTGAGGACTAAGATATCCTTGACCTAAGCCATGATATTTTCTATTGCCTCATATGCATGTGAAAGTGGGACATTGAATAAGCAGGACTGAAGAAGAATCAATGCATTTGAATGAAGGAGCTGGTGAATTATATGGCAAGTAACATGGACTGTCAAAAGAAGAAACATAGCTGTCTTGGAAGAAGTATGACAGAATGCTCTTTGGAAGCAAAGATGGCAAGACTCTGTCTCAGGAACGTTGGACATTTTATCAGGAGAGACCAGCTCCTGGAAAAGGACATTTTGCTTAGTAAAGTGAAGGACAGCAAAAAGAGGAAAACCCGGGACAAGAAGTACTGACACAATGGCTGCAACAATGGCCTCAAACATAAGAACAATTGTGAGGAAGGTGCAGGACCTGTTGGTGTTTCTTTTTGTTGCGCACGGAGTAGCTATAAGTCAGAACCTATCAACAACAATACTCTCAGTTAACAACCACCACAGTGAACAGAGAACCTAAGCACCACCAGCACAACACCCTCAGTCTTAAAAGCAATTGCTAAATCTCCACACAGCCCAACATTCCCCCCTGCGCATCATATGTGGTCTTTGTGGTCGTCAGGCAGGCTGCAGTGATGAGATACCTGAAGTGGTTCACTAGTCATATTTTGTTCACCTCATAATGTTGATGGCACAGTGTCTGAGTCATTCAAGGAATGATGTCACAAACACTTTATGAATGTGCAGCTCATCTTGAAAGGGGACCTAGAGTCAAAGACAAGCCTCTGTGCACTCAGACACCGCTTGATTCAGAAGCCAGTCTTTCAAGTGGATCAGGTGCCATCAGGTCTTCTGGTGTTGTAACACTCCTCTGAACCACATGGGGGTTGTTTATGTAGACACTTTACTTTAGTCAAGATTCTTGAGATGGGAAGCTCATCCCGGGACAATCAGACACCTGAGGAGGAAGTGAATCATCACGTGAACAAGGAGGGGGTTGATTTTAGTATGAACAAGTCCAATGCCAAATGTAGCGGAGCTAAGGAAAATCTAATGGTTAAGGGGGAGTTGCTATGTAGTCTAGCCAGAAATGCACCGAATGTGTCCTCTTAGGGATTCTGTGCATCACCATGCATCTCATCCTCTCACTTTTCCCACCATGATTTTTCATCATTTTGTTTTTAATCATGAGAGACAAACAAATGAACTGTGAATAAGTTTCAACTCACTTCATGTATTAGCTATTCCAAACTTTTTTGGGGTTAACACTAAATGTATTTTATGAAGGGCTCCAAAAAGTTCATGGAGAAATGATATTAAAAGATCATATTTTTTCCTGAGCTTTTTGTAGGTGCCACATATATTATAAATGGATTTTCTTCTTTTTTGTTACAGGTTAGGAATCTCAGTAAAATCATATTTCTTCCCTAACTGCTTTTCAAGGATTTGGGAAAACAGAACATATGAAAAGGTCAAAACTTCACTACTCACATGTAAAACGGTACTCTCCTTTTAATTGACATGTCATTGTCATGTGTCACCCTGTTGGTGGACTCATAGAGACCTTATGAACAACAGAATAAGACACTGCCCAGTCCTTTGACATCCTCCCAATTGTTCTTGTATTTGAGTCCATCGTTGCAGCCACTGAGTCAATCCATCTTTTTGAAGGTCTTCATCTTGTTCACTGAGGCTCTAGTTTGCCAAGCATGTTGTCCT